AAAAAAGAAAGGTTAATCAGAAAAATACTGACTTAAGCATCGGAGTTTCTCCCCGAGGTTCAACCTCGGGATTGTGCAGGACCATTTGGAGCAAGACCAACTTGGAGTAAGACCTCAAGGATATTCAGCAACTACAAGAAGAAAATGAAAATCCATATTGAATTCATTAAGAGCATGTTTGGAGGGATGGATAAAACGTTAGATAGGAGTATAGGACACAAATTTTGTCTTGTCTCATTGTATCCCACGTTTGGGATGCCAGAGGATGGGATACTTCATATCCTATGTTTTATCCAATTCCATCCTACTTCAATAAAAAATTATCTCATCACCCCCATTGGGATGCCAGAGGATGGGATACTTCATATCCTATGTTTTATCCAATTCCATCGTCCTTCAATAAAAAATATCCCATCACCCCCATGAGATTAAGGAGGATAAGATCATCTTTTACTTTTCTACCCCTCATCGTCTTCTCCCAAAATTCACTCTCTTCTTTTGATTTTCTCTCCTATTCCGATTCCGGTGAGTAAGTTCGTCGATGTTTCTCAAATCCCTTGCTAAAGATGAAATCGTTGTCAGGAACTGAAAAATGAGTGCCAAAAGATAGTTGAACTCCAACTAGATTGTTGAACTCCAACTAGATTTTGTGTTTAGCATTAGCGAGCTGCTAGAAACCCAGATCTCAAATGAGATATCGTCGTAGAAGGAAAGAACTTCATTGATTGGCTACCTTGATGTTGGAAAACCATTTGAAATTTTCACAAATGATTTTTTTTAAATGCCAACATCTTCGTCGATGTGGTGGGCATAGTTTCCGACGGTTGCTATTGATGAATTCAGATCATTCATTTTAAAATTTCTATCTCCCATTAATTTTATGGAATCTCACTATTTTTTTGTTTTTTGTTAATTTTCTTTGAATTTGTAGGGAACCAAACGACTAGTTTTTTCTAGAGAGGAAAAGGAAATGGAGAGACAAGTGTAGTGGTCAACATCATGTAGTGCAGATATAGGTGTTTGTGGCTTGGGAAAATGAAAAAGAAAATGCTGGAAAAGAAGAGAAAAATGCAAGCAAAGTTTGAAACAATTTATTAGTATGCTTTTTCAGGACAAAAAAGAAGTAGGTTTTTCTTGCATTCTCTCCCGTTGTTCAAGTTGTTCAAGTGATTACGTTTTTACATGTGAGAAGTAAGGTAAATGTAGCACATGACTATTAGGTTAATTTTTTGATTGGTGATCGACTTTTTATTGATACTTAAATAAATATTAATTTACTAATCATTTTTTCTAAAAAAAAAAATACGTTTTTCTCTCTTTTTTTAGTAAGAAATTGAATTTTACACATAGGAAATTGAATTGTAATATTAGGGGTATTTTTGTTAATATGATAAATATTTTTATCCAATCTTATTTTTATCCAATAAGTAACCAAACATGTTATTGAATTGTAATACGTCCCATTCTTTTTAATCCTATCTAATCTTATCCTCTCAATTATATCATATCCAATTTAATCTTGTACACCGAACATGCTCTGAGGGCTTTACAATTGGGCCTGATGTAAGCCTAATCTACTGGTATCTAAGAACTTCAAAGCCCTTCTTAAATAGGTAAGGGTTGGGCCTTGGGCGGGCCGATCAATTGTCTGGCTTCCTAATGTTCAAAAATGTAAAAAACAACAAAAAAAGGAAGCTCAAATAGATGATATAGCAATTCAACTGATTGCTGACACATATAATATGTCACAACGTCAAATTTAATGCATTTTTGAGAAGCAATTTGGACTTATTTGGAAGGACAGTTAAGGGATATGTAATAATCCAGACCCAGTCACCCAATGAGCCCATTTATTACTACAGTACTGGCCTTGTGGGTCATCGCAAGGCCCACATCACATGAGGCAATTGTCGTGTTTCTCGTTTTTTTTTTTTTTATCAACTAAAAATTTCGATTAAAAGAAAGGGTCCAGTTAAATTAAGAATAATATTTTTTTGTTATAAAATAATTTTTATTTTTTAGTTTTAAATTTGTTTTAAATTAATTTTTTGTATTTTTAGGGTAAATATTTTTTTAAACTTTTTTTTATATTAATCTCTTAATATTTAGTAATTATATTAGATCTTACTGAAATCAATTCGCATTGGACTTCATAAAAAAAAATTTTCTTAATGCTTATTTTTTTATTTATAATATTCAAACTCCAAATTTTATTTTCGAAAAAATGAATTCTTTTTATTCAGACTAACAAGTAGTTGATTTTACTTTAACTCTATTTTTATAAATTTAAATTGATTAATTATCTTATTACAAAAAAAAGTTTCGCTTTATCTACTTTGTCTTTTAGCTTTTAGCTTTTTCTGAATATAATATAGGTAAATACGTAAAATGTCAACAAATTTTTAATTTAGAGAAAAAGTAAAAAAAAATAATTATTTTGAGATTGATGAACTGATAAAAAATTTAAAATAATTTTAATGAATAAATATAAAGAGGATTTATTAAAATTATAAGACCAATTTCACATAGAGTTGTAACATTTAAAATGATATAACATCCTATTTTTACTTTTAAAAAATAGATTTTTTTAGATTTTTCTGACCTATGCATATTAATTACATAATTTTATAATAAAATTTTGAAACATGTGTCTTAATACACAAGTTAAAACCACCTTTTTATTATAAATGCATATTAAAATATGTAAAACTAACTTGAAGTTTAGTATTTGTTAAGTGAATAAATTTAATTAGGTGGTTGGTTAATTAATGATCAATTTTTATTTTTTAACATAAATTTAAGATGAAAAATTGTATTTATTAATGGACACAAGTTTTAATAAAAAAAAAACCTTTTACAATTAATTTGCATAGAAAATTAAAACAAAATTTTATATATATTTATCAATTATTCAGTTAAAATTATATACCAATACTAATATTAAACATAGTGTTTCCTTTTACATTTTTCAATAAAAACTTATTGCAAAATTATACAATTAATGCACTCAGGTCGCAAATTTTTTTTTTATTGAAAAGAAAAGGGTAAGTGACCTGACAAATGGGTCAAATTGGATGAATTCAAATTGAGACACCTCAAATTTTAAACTTATTAGATTGGGTATTTTTGAATTTTGGATTAAAAGGGGTAAATTTATAACCGTATACACAAGTCTTGGATCCATTTAGATGAACCCAAATTTTAAAATATTAAAATTAAAATTTTAAAAATTGAATATTTTATTTATTTTTATAAAAAAATAATATTAATTAATTATTTAATAAAAATAAATTTGTTAAATTAATATTAACTATAATAATTTAATAAATGATAATTATTTTGTAGTATTTAATTGTGTTTTCTATTTAAAAACTAAATTTAAAATATAATCATTTAAATTTTAAATTAAAAAAAATAATGATTTTTAGTTGAGTCACTCTAAATTAACCAAACCCAACCTTGATCAAACTTAGTTGAATTCAAATAATTTTGATATGTGACATATTGAGTTCTGAATTAATACTTTAAACCCATGACTATTCATAATAAATAGACTGTATCAGATATTCAAATTGGATCTAATTTTACCGAATCTAAAAACTCATAATTCTTGTACTAGGTGGGTTTCTTTTGTAGCTGTTGTAAGAATTTGTGTTTTGAGTCTATTTTGAGAAAATATGTGGTTAAGTTTGTTAGTTAATCGTTGTGATTTTTATTATATTAAGAATGAGTACCATGTACTTGTATCAATAAATTTTTTTACTTATCAAAAAGGAAAATTAATGCAAAGGGATCCATCAATAGCAAATATATTGTACTGGTGCAGATTAAGTAGCACTTCATTGCATCAGTAATATGCATGTGCTTACGTATTAATAACTCTACTACCATTGCCTATTTTCAAAAAAACAAAAACAAAAACCAAAAGCAAAAAACAAAAACCTCTACTAACTTCTACCACAAAAGCTGATTTAATTACTATCTGCATGGAGGAGAAGAAAGCAGCAGCATAAGGACAGAAATTAACTAACAATGAAAACATTGTAGTGGAATATGGTACCACGTCCACTTTGAAACATGAACTTGTTATTTAATTTATTATGTCTCAAACTCTATATTTATATTCCTGTGATATCTGTATGCCTTATTAATTAAGCACATGTATATTTAATAAAGCTTTCAGTCGTCTTCTCCCTGGAAATGAATATGGGAAAATGCCCTCTGCATTAATGGTTTGTAATGGTCTCTAAAATCTTGAAATAGCCTATAAAGACCCAATTTTTCTTTTTCTTTTTTTACTGGTAGACTATCTTCAAGTCAATTTATATATAAATTAAAATACTAATTCCTTTTTAGTTCAATTAAAGATAAATTATGTACGTCCATATTAATAAATTTACAAGAAACTACTTTTATAAAAAATCAAATATTAATTAATAAAATAAATAATAAATTCTTTTATTAATTAAGTTA